ACAAAATGTAGGTGGCAGGACAGGGCTCGAAATAATATGCGGAGAGTCTCCGGACACGATGACCGGCCAAATTCATTTTAGCTCTGTCACGTATCATTTCTGGCTGGTCAAATTTATAACACAAATAACTCTTAAAACAAAAACCCATGACCCAAATTTGGCATTATGTATTTCCAAAAAACAGGGCTTCTGATATTTTGCACGGTCATGGAGCTGCGGAATTCCGTAGAAATCTTATCAAATACATGTCAATGCAACATATTTGGAACTTATCTTGGCTATTGGGGCTTTTTAATTGCTGAAATTCCGAAAGCAAGTGAATGACTTTCCAAAACTACCAGGTATAAATCATATTGCGAAAAACTGGGCACTAGTCATGATGCGATAAGCTTTCCCATTGGCTCATTTCTCTAACACTTTGTTGTTAAAATAGGCAATGATTATCTCTGTTAAAAAAAACAATAAACGAGAGTCAAGTCAGTGCAAAACTGATCAATTTGTAGCGAAATTTGCCCACAAAATTGGCCATTTTTTTACCAATTGTTTTTCAGTAAAGGTAGCCTAGAAAATGTCTGCAAAATTCCTGTGAAATCAGCCGATTTTCCGCACATCTGTCTCTAGCCTGTGCCAGGCTCTCAGATAGTATAGTGGAAACGTATTAAAACAAGCAAAGCGAAAATAAGACGCGCACGACTTGGGAAAGGGGGCGGTGGCGGCGGGAAAAATGGGAGAGAGAGCCTGTTAGCATTTCTTTAACGACCCTCTTCCGCCCATTTTTGTCACGTCTGGATTCGGCTGTCAAAACTGTTAACACTTCAGTTACCTACAATCATTCTCAAGTTTCTCGCGTGAGCATTGCATGCGACGCGAACTCCTTGTGCGATGTGTCGAAATTTATGTCTTCGAATCCTTTATCCTGTGAGGGCATCCGGTTTTTTGGCTCTAGTTTATAGCAATAAAAGGGAATCAAAAGGGGTTGGTAAGTTTTTTCCTCAGTTGGGTAGGTTATGCTATGGAAGGTTCTACATTGTCACTGAGCAAATGTGACTTTAGCCGCTTGTTTCACACTGAGAGGTCATGGCACGCATATCGATTTACTGTGGTGTTTGTTTCTGGTCGGCAGGATTTGCCCTCTGATGAGAGCATTTTCTTTGACCTCTAATTTGAAGCGTAAAGCTTTTTATTGCGGCTGAAAAAGGGTTTTAATTTTCTCCAAAGTGCCTTCTGGATCTGACTAACTAAGTGATTTTCTTTAGTCCGTGAATTAATGTAATATTTTTCTGCAATGTTGTATCACGCTGGGCCCAGCTCGTTAGTTTTCTTTGCAGAATGTTAAATTATCACGGATAGTGATTTACAGATCCAGAATTATAAGAATGAAGTGCAGCTTAAACTTAAGCTACATCAACTAAGGAGAATTGCATTGTGACTTAGTAAACTCCAGCTTGATAGTGTTTCTCTGAAAATAGTGTGAGTCTTTTGACTGGAGCGCGTAGTTTCTCCCTTGGTAATAGCGGAATAAGCTTAACCAGGTGGACTGTTTTGTTATTGCCACTTTGTGATCAACCAGGACTCCGGATTACCGAAAACAATTTCGCACTTTCCTTCTCTCGCTTTCTTCTCGTCGTCCTCTCCCTCGTCACCGATGCCAAATAGCTGCGGCCGAAAATCCAAGCTTTTTCAGTTGTTCCACTTGGTCTCACATTATAGATATCAGCGGCGAAACGACTATTATCATAGAGTTTTCTAGGGTTAGAGCAGCTTTAGCCAAGCGTGGGAATAGCTGGAAGATTAAACTTTTGCCGAAACCGGTGGGCATAATACCGAAAACATCTTTACCGCAGCCAAGTCGCAGACACTGCGTCTAAAGCACAAGACGACGCGGATTCATGAAGATCACACGCGCGATTCGCGTTAGCCATCTTGGTGATGACAAACAGATGACCACGCTACTAGGTGATGGTGCTAACTGTCACAATTGACCAATCAGAGGGTATATCAGGAGCTGATATACCGGAACAGGCCGTTAAAAAAATGCGTACAGGCTCCGCCGCCCTGTCTCTCCCCAGCCCCGGCGCGTTTTTCGCCTTTCTTATTACTGAACGACTTTCCACCACCATCTCGGAGCCTGGAACAGGCTAATCTGTCTCTGAAAATTCTGCAAAATCTGACTCTTTTTTTCCGCAACCTACCAGAAGCCCTGAAAAAAATCGTCATTTAACTAATAAACTAATGAAAGTGAAAATATTTTTAATGTTGTGACCAGAAGTGCGTGAACCCCAATGTCTGTTTCAATGTGTGAATTGTAAACAACGTTTCTAGTTGCATTTTACCCAGGATTTCAGATCAAAGTTTTTTTTTTCAATATGATCCAGATCGAATATGGCCAGCTAACATGCCCGGCAAGATGAAAGGTTGACCGGTCAACTTTCCAGTCAGTCCGGACATTGTCGGTTGACCAGCCGTTATTTCAAGCTTTGTCCTTTACATAAATCTGTACTCAGCCAGATTTTATTGTTATTTCATTTTTTTACAGCTGTACATGTTTCCTCACAGAGAACTTATGAAAACTTTTGCTTGGTTCACAGGTTCGTGGTGTTGGTGCTGGAGGCATTGTGTCCTCGGCATTTTGTCTTCTTTACAAGCTGTTTACATTGAAACTGACCCGGAAGCAGCTAAATGGCTTGATAACACACGTAGACTCACCCTACATTAGGGCTCTTGGCTTCATGTTCATTAGGTATGAAGAATAATCTTTGAAGTATTAAGTCCTATTTCTTATCTTAAAATGGGCAAAATTCTGGTAAATTCAAATCCAAGGGAAAAGATACAACAGTAAGAAATAACAGGGAAAAAAACTTGGCAAGACTATCCAAGACCTGAACATGGGATCTACTGCATAACAGGGAGACAGCTGTACCACTAAAGCACAAATTCCTTCCCTTGATAAGTTTGGAAGTATACTATTTAAGTTTGTTTGAGGTCTTTACCCTTGGAAATTTTGCCAAAAAGGCTGTTTGAAGCTATTCAAGCTGTTTTATGGTCTTAATCTGCCGAAAACGTCATATTAATAAACAATACACTGAAGGCTGGCCTGTTGCTGATCACAAATTACTCTGTCAAAGTTCAGATAGGCTGTTTGTCTTGTTTTGTTTCTAGGTGAGTGGGCCCACTCAACGTTATATATAGAAAGTAAGTCAAACCAAATTCCCCTGTGCTAAGCCATCCATGCGTGATGCGAATTCTGGCAAATTTATAAACCTTGTTTTGCAAGGAAATTATACATAAAGAAACTGAATCTGGTATCCTCCATAACTCATGGTGTAATTTTCAAATGATCAATTCACTAGTGGAATCTACCGGGTTACATGTGTAACGTTATCTTTTGTTGAAGGTATTGTCAACCTCCAGCCAAGCTGTGGGACTGGATGGAACCTTACCTTGAAGATGAAGAGGTCAGTAAAACTATGTCAGTAATATTGATCCCTGCTCTTTGTAGTGTTCAGCTCTTAAATTGCCAAATAATCGTTTTCTTTAAATTCCTCCTTGTTAAAATAAATCTGCAGCTGGGCAGCTTGCAATATACTACAGTGATCAAATTGAAAAATTTAAAAAAATTTAAAGCATTTAGACTTAAGTGTGAGACCAAAATGTAACAAATCAGCTTGCCTAAAAACAGAGATGTTACAGACTGTGTACATTTACTGCAGTTTACCTGTCTGCATCTGTAAGGAGCAAGTCCAAAATTGAGAGAATGCTTTGTTTCTCTTCAAAAAGATTAAAAACTGTACATTTACCTATTTGACAATTTGCTTAGGACAACACCCAAGCCCTGCAGTGTATGGGTCATTTTGCCAACGTTACACAAGTAGTAGTGACTTAGAGCATGGCATTATACATATAGTAGTTAACTCTTCATGGATTTGTTGAGAAAGGACAGTCAACTAGGAAATATTTAAAAATCCCTAAATTTAACCATTTGAGGATTAATAATTATTAAGTAGTAAAAAAACTTACCTTCACTGAGCCTGGGATAGTCTACAAGCATGTGGATGAAAGACTTTACGTCCATTTGAAGTGGTGAGTTTCTTCAACAATTTCGTAGTGATTTTTGTCATCATTGTTGTAGCCTTTAGAAGCATGATGTTGACGTTTGTGCTGATGTGTTTATAGGTGGTTGGGTAATACACCTCTTAGGCAGCTCATGACAGCTGTTTCCATGCCGCCGCAGGCCTTCAGATATTGTGCTGCACCGAGCTGCCTTTCTTGAGGTTAACACATCAAATGAGTAGGCTTAAACATGGGCTTTTGACTTCTACTGTACTTCTTCTGCTAATGTTGTTTATGTACACATCATTCATACTGTACGTTGCTAACCTTGTATCTGCAAGTTGTATTATAGAATCAAAGCAGTTTTGAGGAAAATTTGACTTACTAACCCTGATTGCCCAGACTCAAGCTAAAAAAAAAGAAAAATGAACATCTTATTAACAATAATAATAATGATAATAAAACGATCGAGACTACTACCGTTATACTGTGTATACCATTGCCTAGATTATGACAGTGCCTACAATGGAAGTAAAGGGTAGCAAAGTGATTTGGGGAGATTAGTGATCATACGAGACAAAGAAAGGGAGAGTTCAAAACTGCTGGTGTGACAAAATATGTGATTATTTTAAATAAATGTAAATAGCCTTTTGGGAAGGCGTTTTGATTAAAACGTTACTAGTACCAGTGCCGGATCCAGAGGGGGGTGGGGGGAGGGAGGCGGCTGGTCTCCCAAAAGAATTTTTTGGCCCTTTGGGCCTCAGTTTGGTCTAAAAATAAGTGGGGGGACCCCTCCCCTGGTTCTGCCACTGAGTACTTGCTATTGAAATCATTTAATCTTCCAGAGCACTGAAGTGCAATAGTACGTGTAGGTGAGGTATTGTAGAGGTTCCCTTTATTTGTAAGCAACCTTTATTTGGTAGCTAGTTACTAGAGTCCTAGCAGACAAATTTGTTAGCAAATCATTGTAAAAGGAAAAACCTCTATTAATAATGATTATTAGATACCCTTAAGGTTAATAAAGTGGCTACTTGTGCTGCATGAGGGTAGCCCCTTAATAGAGGTTTGACTGTAGAAGATCTAAATGTTTTGTGAATAAGCATGCAAAATTGTACTGAAGGGAATTGTATTTGTTTTGTGTCATTTACAGGAGGTTGATCCCAAAGCTGGTGGTGGATGCACCATGACAATTGGACAGATGGTAAGAAGCTTTCTATTGAAGCTAGAGTGGTATGGGACACTGTTTCCTCGCATCCCTGTACCAGTACAGAAGGATCTGGAGGTAAAGCTACGTCAGAAAGGCCTGTGTGATGACCACAAGCGAACCGCTCAGGAAGGCTGGGGTGAGGCTGAGGATTTTGTCAGGCGTACTCGTGGAGACAGGTGGGTGAGTCTGGCCGAAAATTGAGATTCAGAGTATTTGAACCCTTCTGCTCCCATTGTGAGTGATGGAGTCTTGAAAAGTGGTTCTAACCTTTAAGTATGTGGAAATGAAACCTCTTGAGTATACTTTCACATGGTACTATTTGTTTAGTATGCAGTTCTAACTTTTGAGTCTGTGGATAAACTCCTATGGTGTTGCCATTCAAATGAAACCTCTTCAGTATACTTTCACATGGTACTATTTGTTTAGTATGCGGTTCTAACTTTTGAGTCTGTGGATAAACTCCTATGGTGTTGCCATTCAAATGAAACCTCTTCAGTATACTTTCACATGGTACTATTTGTTTAGTATGCAGTTCTAACCTTTGAGTCTGTGGAAGAAATCCTATGGTGTGACCATCCAAATGAAACCTCTTCAGCAGTACTTTCACATGGTACTATTTATTAGTGTGCAGTTCCAACTTTTGAGTCTGTGGATAAACTCCTATGGTGTGACATTCCAAATCAAACCTCTGCAGCAGTACTTTCTGTTTTGGCATTTTACAAAATTTAAATAAAATTTGGAAAATTGGCCCCCTTGGGATTGAAATGGAAGTCGGTTGCGAGGTTTCTAGAGCCTGGCGTTAGTACTATTTGATGATGAGTTCGATTATTCGGGGTCTTGTTCAGTACATTGCAACTTGCTAATTTGGTTCTAAAAATCTCGTTGAAGAATCGGGAATCATTGAATTAAATGTGGTGTTACATGGATTTTCAGTCGCAACCTGTAGCATAATTTGATTTTCTGTCGTTCGGTAACCTTTTTTAAATGTTCACGACTGGTTTAGTCGGTGACGTCACTTTTTGACTTCATTTCCTTCACCTTTAATACAATTTGATAAATGGCGCATGTATTCCGCATGAAAACTGAGATCCTTCCATGTTCAGCCCTGAGATAATACGCATATTATTTTACTTCACCTCTCAAGGTCTAAATCAAACAGCTATGCACAATAATGCAGTGTCAGCGCTTAGGCATGTGAGCGGGCTTACAGCAAATGCACGATAGGTGAAATCTAATGTTCAAATATTACTTCATTACAGCTCACCGAGCGCACACTCACGGGAACCAGCCGATGATGATAGGCCGTCAGGATCACGCCGAAGCCGAAGTCGAGATCGAGACCGAGAGAGAAGACGTAGTCGGAGTCGTGATCGTGATAGTTCCCGAAGGCGAAGTCGAGAACGCCGAAGCCACGAGCGAAGACGCGGGGATAGCAGGGACCGAGACAGAAATAAGAGGCGGAGCAGGAGCCCTGACAGACGAGGGAGAGACGACGACAAAAAACGACGGAGCCGAAGTCGCGATAGGAAAAGGGAGAGGAGGCGAAGTGATGATCGAGATACTTCTCGTCGGAGAAGAAACAGCAGAGAAGACAGAAAAAGTAGAGAAAAAGAACGTTCACGAAGTAGATGAATGGAAACACAAAACCGGAACATTTATCTGTCCTGCAAAGACAGTGATTTCGCTCGGATGTGTTCACGTCGGTGTTTTACACTCTTTGTTAAGTGACTATCGGATTGTCGGCATTTTTTGGACGCGTGTAAATATTTCATTGTTTTACATTATTATTCGTTTTATCTCTAACTTCATAGAGACGTCGTCTCCTCTATTAGAGAACTATCTTTGTGTTAGTCGTTTTCTTTTTTCCAAACATTTTCAACCAAACGTGCTTTTATGTTTATATAATTAGCTTAGTTAAAAATCGTGTAGAAAAAAGTACAGCCAGCTCCCTCTTATTACGGATACCTTAGTTGGTTCCCGACTATCCTTGACTCTCTAAGAGGCGGGCAACTCTCTTCAGACGGGTAGTTACTGTAGTCCCCTACGTACACGTCGAAGACCCTGTTTACATGGTGTGGGGTACCCCGGTCTAGTGGGGTAGGTTTCTTTTGTTTTGTGTCCGCCAGAGCGTGAAAACAAAAGAAACCAACCCCACTAGACCAGGGTCCCCCACTCCATGTAAACAGGGTCTAAGAGAGAGCAGACTTTAATTTTGAAAGGCTTTTTGATTGAAATTGTGGAACTAAAACGCTCGAGAGTAGAGAGTAAAGTAAATCAGGCCTTTTTCCATTCTGGAGAATATACGGTCTGTCAGGCTTCTTATTTGTGCTAAAATTTGTGCCCGTTTAGTACATATTAGGCGATAATGATTCTTTGAAAACCAGAATAGTATTGCTTAGATAGGAACCATCATTTGAATGAAAGGCCCAGTCCTCCCTATCGCTCTTTCAAGTGTAAGAAAGTGAAGCTTTAGCCGAAACCTTGTTAGCCTCACTCGAGGCTCTTTAAATATCTTAAGGAAGCCTTTATCGTTATGAACACCTGTAATGTATACTGAAGTTGAATTGTTAGAATAGGCTAACTTTCTAGTTTTTTTTTGCAAAGAAAAACAAATCATGTCGTGAAACTTAAAACGACATATGCAGCCATCCTCACTAAATCCTTCTATCATGTTATGTGAATAAAATTTGACAAGTTGACTCTTTATCAAAAATCTAGTGTCAAGTTCATTTAAATTTCCTCTTACGTTTTTAGGGAGATTTTTTATATCACCATGCTCTGTTATACCTGCATTTTTTTACCGCTGGATTGTTTTTATAGCATAAATTTGGGACTTTTTTTTCTTCACTGCTTTGCACGGGAATAAGACAATTTGAAAGTAACAGTTCTCAAGAGTATTGTCAATTGACCCACATAGGGAGAACAAAACATGTCTTTTAGGAACCTGAAAACCTTTCATTGCGTCCCGTGTATATTTTGTTTTTCCCATGAAGGTCTCATGGAAATTTGGGACTTTGTCTTTTCATAAATTAGGCGCACGTTTGCAGGAACAAATGCACACATTGAAATTCTTTAAACCAAAGAACAAGTGGCGAAGTAAAATCTCGCGGTAAACCCAGGCGTGGAATCAACTCCGGTTTCCATCAGTCAACAGTTCTCAGTCCATGGACTATTATCTGAAGTTTGGTGATTAGGGTTAGGAAACTGAGTGACCCACATAAGGACCCTTAATGAAACCTGAAAACCACCCTAACCACTAAACTTCAGCGGCATAGTCCATTTTAGGGTAGTCCATGGGGGTAGTCCATGGACTAGGGGTCAGTGTTTTGTCTACCACCTTGTCTGAATGACTAAAAATCCCAAGAAATTTTCCAGGGGAGCATGCCCCGGAACCTCCTACGAGCTTCCGCCTTCACGCGTTTAGGAAATAGGTCATCAGTATTTATCACTAGATCCGCGCCTGAAACCCCTCAATAAACGGCGGGGAATGAAGGATGGTTGGTTTGTTAAACTCGGATTTATCTGACCTTTACTCCTCGATCGACGCTGGTAACCTGCTTTGTCCTTTCACGCAACTGTTTTAAGGGAGGCTCTTCTGGTTGCCTGACGACCCTTATAGTTCAGAGAAAAGACTACGCGTAGTCCCCTCCCCTTTTTTTGTACGCTCTATCTTACGCCTGATCGGCCTAGGACGGCTGCGAGGGAACCGAGGAACCTGCGTGCCGACCTTTCGTATTCCCTTTTAACACTTTCCCTTTGCTTCACGCGAAATCTACTCTTTACATATGCTTTGAGGATGGAAATCTGAGCTTGAATTAGTATTTCATGTAAAAATACACCGGTTATACGTGGTGAATAGGTGCCCGGGAAGATGGAAGCCGCCAGCCGGAAATACGCCTGCGTTCGAACGCAAAGATAAGCAACGTCTCCCGAATTTTAGGTTACAATGCTAGAAAATAGAAGCCGAAAATTTTACCTGTATAGGAGTAGCAGGTAGAAATTTCTTTTCCCAGGAAATGCGTGATTTAACTCCCATAACTCAGAAAATGTGCGTGTGACGTTCGTATGATGTTCGTGACTTGTTCGGCAGAAGCGAAGATTTCTGGCAGCCGGCCAGTTTCGTCTGCCACTTTCTGTCACGTCCGAGAGATCAACCGGTCGTTTTTTTGTCGTTTTCACGAAATCGCAAGGATGATGGCGAGACATACTTTTTTCTTCCTGTTCAACGCAATCACGTAAATATATGCCAAACCGTCTAAAAGGCAAGTGCTTCTCATTTATTATTTAGCTAATAAGTTTATTTTGGATGTCCATTATTCAATTTAAGCTTATATACTTTATATGTGCTCAATTAAGCTTCATTTGAGCCAGCTAATCACAGTGCCAATGTTTGTTCAATTTAATTGCCTGTCCACAGACTCTGATCGTTTAATAACCCAGCTGGCATATTTATGATGTGGAATTATAAACTGACTTTCTTGTTCATACAGTATAATTCAATTCAATCTTCTGTGTCGTGATGGCTTCATCACCCAGACGAGAGTGGCTTGGACTTCAAGGACACATACAACCTCTACACAGCTACAGCGGTATCAATTTAAACAATCATTATTTGCCTCATTTTAAAGCCTTTAGTTAAGTTGTAAGTAAAATCCCTGGCAACTGGGGGTTTCACAAAAGGATTTGACCCATTTAAAGCTCATTGAGAGCTGTGCTTGGCTAAACAATTTTTGTTTAATTAGCATATTCCAAGCTTGTTTCAAATTTGACTGACCAATCTTGGGATTGACAGATAGATGGATGATAGATAGATACTTGTTTTTATGAGGGTTTCACTTGATATCCACAGATAATATGGCCCTCAACCAAAAATTACACATAAAAATAAATAAATAAATAAATAAACAAAACTTACTGAGTAAAGATACAAAATTCTAGAAAGTCCTACTTACAAACAATAGTTACAAAGAATATGGGCATGAAAGGTACATTTTTATTTTCACTGCTTGCTTGCTTAAAAAGGAAGCCTGCATAACTGGCATAACAGTATTATTGTTTTGCATAATTTTTCTGGCAAGCAAAGGTAAGCATGAAGCGGAGTGAGGGGTGCGGGACAGACATGATGGGACAAGGTGCTGAAAAATGCCTTTTCCCTGTTCTGTGTGGCTCACATTCCACGCCAGCTTCTTGCCTGTTTGCCCAATAAATGCTAGCCTGTGTGACAGGCGCAAAAAAGGGTAGAGAGGGGGAGGGAGAAAAGGGCAAAAGTGCAAAAAAATATCGCCAGCTCTGCAGGCTGAAATAGGACCCAGAGTTGAAAAGATCTGCAGTGTCAAGCGGTTGGTTGTTTATCACTTGTGTGGAGGGGCAGCCATTTTGCTGGGGGGAAAAGGTAGAAAGGTAGCTTTACGTGGGGGTCACTTTAATAGGTTTCCCGAAAGAAATACAAGTGCTTGAGGTTGCTTGCCTGATGTCATAAGCAAGCATGCTTGAAGGGGATTTCCAGTGTATGAAGTGTGACTAAGGCAGGATAGTCCTAATTTACTATCTTCCTATCATCAACCTACCCAATGCCTGACCCCCCAAAAAAAGAAAAAAAGGAGTTGTGAACTGAAAATTGATGGGAAACTAGGGCACAGAAAACTCAGGCATGCAGTCATAGGTTAAGCTTTCATGATATGAGTCTGCAGTAGCAGATTGGATGCAATAAGGAGCTTAAGCAACAACGACAGCAATGACAACAAGATCGGCAAAAAAGCAATAGGTTCTCTTTTTAGACTAGCAAACACACACTTATCACACTTTTTTGTACATTTCTGTGCAGTCACTGCATGACTCTGATGTAAAACTTCCTAATTTCGTGTTTTAAGGAGGACATGAAAACAGGAAAACAATTTTGTGAACTAAGATACATTCCTTTGGAAATCAACTCCTGAAAAAAATTGCCAACATTTGACAAAATAAAAGAGTGGGAATAATAGCGATGAAGTTTGAAACAGCCCAAATCCACTTTTTGGGCGACATTTTTGCTGCCTTTATTGTCGTCATTGCTTAAGCTTCCTAATAATAATTGCATTTAAGTGAAGCTAGAAAATGTAACGCGAATAAGAAAAAGTGAGACTTTTTGGATTTTTGTTAAATAGAAGATTTATTTCTGAAACCAAAGTTGTTATTACTCCTTTTTTAATAATGTAGTCCCAACATAACTTATGATAACTTATTCATCTCCCTTTAGGACTTAACAGGCTTAGGGAAGATAAAAGTGACAGGAATTGGTAAGTTTTTTTTAAGATTAATAGTTATAATCCTTTAGGGTGTGCAAAACACTTGCATTTGGGTACTATAAAAAAAGTTTCTACTGTTTATTACCAGTCACTTAATAAGTGGGGAGTATGCTGTTGTTTTACTGTTCTTTTCTAAGGCTGCCTGTTACCTGGAAGGTCAGAAAAAATGCTGCTGTTGCATTTTAGCGTGGGCAAAAATAACACTGTCAGTTCAGCATAACTTTTTGCTGTACACAGTTTTGGAAAATAACAGAAAATGTTTGGAAATAATGAAAAGAGTTTGTTAATTTCAAACCGCAAAAAATCCTTCCTTCATTTGTGTCATTGTAAAGCCCGGTTCTCATATGCCCCTGATGCACCTGCGACATGGCAGCCGATACTGCCTGAGATACTTTTCTGATATGAGAACAGATTAAGTGGCCAGCAACATTGGTCATCCCAGTCTTTACCTCTGGCATGCCAGCAAAGTTGACTCAAGTTCAACTTCGCAGGTATTCCATTGGTAGAGCTCTGCAATGGCTCTAGTTGACGGTGGCGCAGGTTCTAATTCGTCCGAGAAGTGTCCCAGGCAGTACCGGTGGCTATGTCATAGATACATCGGCGGCATATGAGAACCAGGCTTAACTTCAGAGTACCCCCCTGGGGGTTTCAACAGCACACCCTTGCCCCAAAATATCACAAAGAGTGCCTCCCTTGTGGTTTTCTCTAACCTGTTGCAACATGGTAAATGGTATTGTGTAGGCTTTTACTTCAGTACACTCAACAACAAATTCCTGTAAGTCAACAATCAGTTTTCATCCAAGGTTGATTTCTCTTAATGATAATGCTTAAATAATTAAGTCAGAATTTGATTGAGGAAAAGTGTTGTTTGGGTTTGCTGATATTAGTGACCACTGGTTTGGACAGCTTGGGCAACTGCCCACATCCTGCCTCTGTTATAAACTCTCTGCTGTAGACAAGAGATTGCCTT